ATAGATTACTACTTAATAGAAGTTGATGCCATTTTTTAAGTTATAGGTATACTTAAAAGCGATAATGTAATGTCCGCAGTTTCACTGTCAGTTTCATTAGACTGTTTTGTTTAAAAAACTCCATTGTTAAGCTATTTTCATTTCAACCCTATAACCACGTATTTATTATTAACCTAGATCCATTAACTTTGGTAACTAACAGCCACTAATGTTATATACGTACTACTATTAATTATACATACCACTATGAAGGCAGATAATGTTTATATGACTGCAATAATTATACTCTATCATATACGAGCCTATATTTTCTTATATTATTCTGTTAATGTAAGCTCGTTGCACTAATATCACAGCTAATAATATCATGATTTTACAATATTTAAAATCTTACAAAGTAAAATTTAAATTTAATTCTTTGAGTTCATGTTCAGCATGTAGTGTTTTGTTTTAATATTAGCATAGAGTTTATTATTTAGCATATAGTGTTCTGTTTTAATTGCAATTGAAAGTTATAACAATTCTCTCCTTGGAAAAGGTGGAATATTAGGGTTATCACGAACATGAGATATTTTTGTGAAAATATAGATGCTGCAAATAATATATTTATTTGCAATTTGCACCTAGATTCCACGATACTATTAGAAATAACTAACTTCTAATTCAGTCAGTTGTATTACAACTTATCCAAAAAGTAAAAGCAAGTTTTTATAGCAAGTGTTATTAAAGCATAATGAAGATAAATCAATTTGGGAAAAGATAGACATTGGTTAATATTTCAAACATGGAAATATCAAGAAAAAAACTACGTCGTTGGATTTTTGAAGTAATTCCGTTTAAACGGCCTTTTTACGTTTTTGATAAAAACTTTCATCATGCGATAATTCGACTAATGCGACTAAAGGACAGTTTTATATACGGCATCTTAGATTTTACAAAAAAAAGTAACTCTCCTTTGCACAAATCGCAAGATTCTTCTTTACTAATAAACCAAAAAACTCAATTGCAACCCTCGTTGAAACCCAAACGAGAAATACTGTAGAGTTAAGCCCATCGCAACAGTGCGACTGTTTTGTGACAAAAGTTGCAAATTTGTTAAACTTGCAACTATTTTGCAACCTCGCGGTAAGGTATAGTAGCACCATAGTAGTGTGAAGCTGCACACGAATCGATTCGAATAGAACTAGTTTGCAATCAGTCACAAATCGTGACCATTTCCCTCAGTCGCAGTTACATTGCAATTTTAAAGTTGCCCGTAAGTGATTTCCACGTGGTTATTTTATATACGAGTATTTCAAAATGGGTGATTAAGAACTGAACCTTAAATTTGTCGGAGAGGTTAAGACGAAGAATTCTATAATTGTAATCTTTCTGGAGTACTCCAAGAAAGATGTGATAAAGAAAGCATGTATGGATGGACCCAGTACTGTGATATTTACGATAATTATTAATGAGGTTTTTGTCATCTGATTCTCAATATTCGGAATTTGACATTGTATTTTTTTAATTGAACTGCTACATCAACTGATTGAAGCTGATTCAGAATCTGTTGCATCCGTCTGCGTTCAGCAGTTTCATTTTAGTTGTAAACTGATTATAGAGTAAACTAATTTGCAACTTTTGTCTCAAAATAGTCGCAGCGTGGGTGCTGGACCTTAATAACATGAAAAGCCTATACTGTATCAAAGAACATTTAGACCAAACCAAACCAAACCAAAACAAAATTATTTTATACTTATATCACTATGAAATAATTGTGTCATCGATCCACAAATACCTAAAAGTTAGAAAAAAATACAAATAAATAACACAAAGTAGTAATAACACAGAATAGTACATCATTGAAAAGGCGTAACCTTGGTTTTTAATAATTAGCTTGTATTTCGGCTTGAACTCACTCTGAGGTCTATTGTTAAATGATACCTATAGGCGGATTGTTTGTAACTTTATTGTTTGAATCATTCAATTTAAACATTTTCAATGTTTTGCGGGTATTTTTAAAAAGCAAACTCTCGAAGTGATTCCGAATAAAGGTTCACTAACTGATGCAATTTCGTATGCACATAATAAAAAGTTTTCGAGCATTCGACATAGCGAAAGCCTACACAAAGGTCATGCATAATTCAAATCTGATGGTTTTAGCAGCCCGATAAATGTAAAGAAATATTGTTGCGTCGTTAGAATATTATTGGCGAGGATCTTTTTCGTGACGTGAATATCAATTTTTCAATATATAAGTAATATTTTTTCTACACCATTTAAAAATCATTTTGACTAAATGAAGGGTTACAGTTTGGGGTTGGAACCTTTAGTGCTACAACAGCAAAATAAAACACTAAATCACCACAATACACCAAAACACTTTTACTTTTGCACTGGACGCGCGTTTCGCTAACCATGTTAGCATCAACAGATGACTGAAACTGGTGTATTTACTATATATTCATTATGTGTCTATATTGGCTCTTAATTTTGTAATAATTATTTAAAAAATTAATGAATGAATGAGATGAAAAATAATTTATAAATTATTTCTCATCTCTTCACTTTTATCAACCTTACCTCAGACAAGAAACCATCTTGATTTTCAACAAGACTAAATAGTATTAAACCATAAGAGTGAGAATATTTGGAAAAGTCAAGGGAAAAGTGTTTGTCTTAAGGGGTAGACAATCTTAATATTATTCTAAAGAAATATGATTAGTGTATCGAATACCGAAACAATATACAGGGTGTTAAGTATATTTTACTTAAAATTAAAAAAAACACTTCCAAAAGTGACTAATGTTCGTTAGTAATTTTACAACTGTATAACTTATTTTATCGAATTTAAATTGGACCTGTACAAAAGTTACTTTAATTACGTAGGCTATACAAAATAAATTCTAATTTAGGTAATTTATATTCAACTATTCAAATCTAGCCCCTCAAGTTTTTAAAAATTATCTGTAGAATCAGTTGTAAATATTTTCAAAACGCTGTAAATTTGGTGAATTTAAATAGTTCTACTTATTTTTATATTGTAATTATATGTAATTACGTATATAAATTTTATTTATAATTGATTATAAAAAATTATGTTTCTTTTTTAAAATAGTAGGCGATTTCTAATATATGGTACGTGCTTATTTATTTTTTATAAGGGGGATAAAAGGTAGGTATTTGTCTTTGCCATTAGATTTTCACTAAATTCAATTACAGAACTCCAAATTTGTCAATATTGATCAAAATAATTAAAATAACAGTGTTTCCACCGCAAAAAAATATGTATTTCTGTAGAAAAATTACAAAATACCAAAACACAGTTTACCAAAGTGGTGCCAAATAAATCCATACTATAATGACAGTTATCATTTTGGCCCTCATTAAAGTAACAATATGAAAGACCATAACCCAGAACCGCGAGAGATGGAGGAATTTCAGGAGGCCTAGGTATTTCACCGAATATTAAAACTAAGGTTTCCAATTTTCGGGATCGGAATCCCGTTTGACTATCAGAATGAGAAATGTAATCTAAAGAAATACCTACTGCAGCTACATATATCAAAAAGATAATGAGAAAAGAGCTTCATTAAAATAGACAAAACAAAGTAACATTCATATTTAGTGATTAAAAATCATTTCTCGTTGAAAACAAAAATAGCAAACACAAAAATATAACTTTTAGATATTGACGTTCTGCTTAGTATAAATAAAATACGATCTTTGAAAGACTAAAGTATATAAAAGTAAATTTTTCGAGATTTTCAGGATCCCGGGATTTAATATCGGGATTTCGGGATTAAACATACACCGAGATCCAGGTTTTGAGACCCTACTTAAAACTGTACCGATGTCCAGCAGTGGATAGTAACGGTTATGCGATGCCTGCTGATGATGATAAATGCCAATAATATACCTACTACGTGTATTGCCAAAATTTCTAACTAATGCCAATTCATGCCCACATCTTGTACACCAAAATACTCCAGTTTACTCCTCGGTACCTATTTACTATTGACAAACAATTAATTATATAATTAATTTAAAAAATAGACCTTTTTACTAAAAATATGTTCTTTAGTTTTATAAATTGTATAAAACCAAAAACAATAACAAGAAAGAAAAAGAAAGTCCAATCAAAGTGTCTATTGCTTTCAAATCAAATTAGAACAGATATCGTAACAGCTAATTGTCCTGTAGCTTTCTATCGAATGATTAAACCGGATTAAACACAAAAATAATGTCACAATGCAGTTAAGAACAATACCTATAACGAATCATATCCTTGATGCTCAGTGATGCAAGTACATATATAATTAAATACCTACTATCTACTTACAATCTCATTAATTCCATTTATAATATAATCAAATTGTATTTTTGGTAGCAAACTGTTGAGGTGGTTTGATTTTCTGTCATTCTTATTATTTCTTGGGGCACTGAATCCGAATCTGATGTTTGCCAATAAAATTTCTGATAGAGTATGAAAAAAATACAAAAACGAAAAAAATTGCATTTTTTGTATTTTCAGATAATTTGTTTTTTAACTTCAAAAGTATAAACTTTTTGGAAATAATATCAGTATTCAAAATAAAGGTACACAAAATTTCCTAAAAATCAACTATTTATTTATTTCCTCAGACTAACTTCTTAGACTATAGGGCTATTTCAAAATGAGCAGATTCTAGTTTTCGGGTAAGAAAGAAATGAGTTATAAGTTGAGTGGATGTTAATAAATTTTATAAAATATGTATTCTGAAACACAGAACACAATAATGTAGTGCTTAAAGTGCCTTAGTCATTTCATATCTTTATAGTGTTATTAGTGTTATATTTCATATTTTATACAAGTATGATAAACTATAATTAAATATTAAAAATGAGTTACATTTTCATCAGAGATTGTAAATTATCAGGTATTAACCAGTATCAGTTTACTTTACATAATATTAAACAATGTTAGTACTTTTACAAATAAGTCCCATATCCCATGTTAGGTAATATTTAATATTTATTACCGTGCCCCACATCATTTTTCATTGCACTCAGCACTTAATTTTCGAAGTATCCAATACAAGGTATGTTTTGAATTTATCCGAAACTTCCGACTCTATATTATGACATCGACCGTAGCTCATAATAAAGGTTAATTTAAATTTTGAACAATAAATTTGCACTTTTTTTATACACGGTTAAGTACTGAAACTCGATTTCTAGATCAACCCGACAAGCGACACAACGAAACTATTTTACCACTCTCTAAAATGTTTCATCCGCCGAGCTCTCATTGGTCTGAGAGGAAAATGGCTTTCCGAATGTCCACGAAGAAACACGAATAAACACGTGTTTGGCCTGGAGGGAGAATGCGTACCTACGATGGATGAATAACATTTTTTAGATTTGGGTGTTTAAATTACATTTTGATGAGTCAGTCCGAGGATACAGTATTCAGTCAAAACAGAAACAAAAACATGTAGGATTACTAGATATACCTACAGCATAGAAGGTATTTTTATATTGTTTACTTAATTACATATATTATACAGTGTGTTGAAGATATTTGGATATATGGGACAGGAATTCAATTTAATTTTTTATCGTTTTTTATTCTTGATGTCTCTGCTTTTGAAACAAAATATGAAATGAAATATCATGATATATTAAATTAAATATAAAAGTAAAATCTCGCCAAGAACAATAAAAGCTTAATTTCAAGACATAGTCAAATTGCTTCAAAGAAGATTAAGTTCATTCAATATCATAATAATATTTGCAGCAAAAATACACTCCCATTGAAATCCAGTTAATGTTGTCAAATTATGTATTGGAAACCAAAATGAATTCCTATAGTTGAGACAGTGATAGTGTATATTCCGTAAGCAATAACATATGATACATTTTTATTCAAAAGCTGTTATAGTCGAGGAATGGGAAATTAGTGTATCTTTGGCGTAATGAAAATTATCTTTGTAGATACGATAGTGTTTTCTCTTTGTATATCGGATATTTCATATATCTGAAATATGAACTCCAGTGTCGGACTGGCCATATAGTGATGGTGGTGTTGCCGGTCGAAGCCTCCAAAAATTTCAAATGCTAACAACAAACAAATAGGAAAATTGACCAACATTTAAGGCAAAAAAAATTGTATTAGATTTCCAATAGGCATCTGATTCTGAAAGAATCAATGGTATTGAATAAGGTATACAGCGGCGGATACAGAGGGGGGCCCATGGGATTCCGCCCCCCTCCTTAAAGACCCTAAATTGGGTTAAATTACATGGACGAGAAAACCCAGACTAGATAAAATCAGGAACATTTAAGTATTCTATTTATTGGTGAATGCACACTGCATTCACCAACTAATAGAATGATATCAATTCTCTCTGATGAAGGATAAATTTGCATTTTCGGCAAATTTCTGAGAAATTTTTAATAGTAAATAAGTAACGTCAAAAATCACTAATCAAATAATAAAGATATACTAAGATCAAATCATGTAAATGAAAATATCTAGGAAAATCTTTGTTTGAGGGGTAGGCAACCTTAATAATATTTTGAAGAGACATGAATTCTCCATTGAATACCGGAATAATATACTGGGTGTTACATTTAAAATAAATGAGTAACATGTTTTTAAAGGTGACCAATATTCATTATTAATTTTGTCTCACCCTGTATAACTTTTTGCACCAAGTTTTAATTTGATTTAAAGTACAATATTTAATTTAACTACATATTAGGATATACCGGGTAAATTCCAATTTAGGTAGATTTTATTGTAATTTAAAAATTGTTCTTTATTTCTAGAAAATGTTAAATATGTCAAAAACCTTACATTTTAGTCATATACTTCTCTTATAAAACTTACCTTTATTTTTCTCCCAGAATCCAAAAATCAATTAACATATAGGGTGTTCCATTACAAAAAACACAACTTTGATATGTAACTTTTCTTGGTGACACCTTGTAGAACTCTCTATATTTTTAAAGTGCTCTGAATTAACCTACATAAGCTCACAAAATTTTGTTTCAATACAAACTGTCGTTCTCCTTGGAGCCTCCGCGGCGTATGAAAGGCGCCACCCTGTAGATACGAGACAATTGCTCAAAGTAATCAAATAATTATAAATAAAAAAATACCCTCTCACTACAGGCACTCTCTTTAGCTACGAATATAAACTATTACTAATTTATATTATTATCAACCTATAGTATTCCATCTACCTTTATCGCAAAATTTGAGAGGATGCCTTAAAATCACAGTCACCCGGGACTTTCAAGCCTAGACTCTAGACTGAGTCTGATACGTCAGATTTAGCTGATATATGAAGATCGCTGTTATTTTCTTTGGAAAATTTAATCGATTTTGAGAGTAAAATACTGAACGGTAATAAGACGATTTTTAATCGTCAATTACCACATCGCCCATTACAAGCCTTCTTGACGTCGTTTATTTTAGATCATGCCGTACGTGTAATTTAAATGTAATATCAACCTAGACCCTGAAGCGTATTAACCATAGGTATTAACATTGTTTTCTACTATTCAGAGCAGTTGTGCTCCGCAAGGCACTAACATGTGCTTTAACAAATACAGGTAATTTAGATTGCCAATGCTTGCTGTGGTTCAGCACATTACCTCAATGACAGTGCTCTGAATCGCAGTAAGCAGTGGTTCTTTATGGACGGCGTTGCAATCAGCCAATGTTTACTGCACAGTACGGTACATTAAGTTAATGACGGTAGTATATTTCGCGCCTTTAGAAAAGACGTATTATTTATCACAGTTATTACACGTGCTTTTAATAATTCTTAGCTATTCATTATTATTAGTGCTCTCCTTTATACTATTAGGTTTATCTATGGATTATAAACAAGTCTTGACTGATATTTTTAGTTCCTAATTCAAAACTACACCATTTTCAATATAACTCAACTGGAGATGGTTTTGATGCTAGCATAAAAGGGTTAAAAAAATCATCAGATAGCTATGAAAAGAATAATGCGTGGGTTGCTGAGTTTAGCACCAAGAAATACAGGGTGTCCCAGGCTGAGCGTGCATTAGAAGTTTCTAGAGAACCACAATATCTAGTTCGGAGATTTTTTGCACATCATTGTTTTACAACGAGATCTATCGATTAAAAATATTTTCAATATGGCGGCACTTCCGGAAATACCGGAAGTTGACAACAACTTTCTTATTTCAAATGGGTGCCCCCATTTTTTATTACATACTTAAATTCTCTCTAAAATTTTACGAATATTGATGTTAAACACTCTATATCTAACATTAGCCGTTCTTGAGAAAAAAAACATATTTAAAATTTTTGGACAAAAAAAGTATCTGCCAAAAAAATTTGTATAGCCTAAAGAATAGCCTATAAAGAGAAGACATGTGGCTATCTATTTCAAAAATTAAATTGTTCAAATGACATATAATAATAGCAGTAGCTGTCATGGAATTGAGTGATTAAAAAATTATCTTAAATCATTTTTTTCAAATGGAAACCCCCTTTTTTATTTCACTAGTAAAAAGGCTTTTCAATTCGTTACTAACATTTTTTTCTTGTTAAAAAATATTTAAATCTCAAAGGTAACAGCTTTGACAAGCTAAAGATATGAAACGAAAACACTGCAAAACATACGATAAACAATGCAATGCTATGATTGAGATTGAATTCAAGAAAATCAACAGAAACTCAGTCAAGAACGACAAGTTGTTGAGAAGTGTATACAATGTTTGCATCAATGTAAGAAAATGTTGTTAGAATTAGTGTGTAATTTTGTGTTAAGACCCTCCGAATATGAATGCCACAGTATGTATAATTAAAAGATATTAATAATTAATTATTATTCAAAAAAATATAATATTTTTTAATTTGGCTACTGAGTATATATTTTTTCATTTTTCCCTATAATAAGCGGCAGTAAGCTAAAAAACCTGAACATAGATAGGTTCCACAAGTAGAATGTAGAATGAGTGGGAGGGGGGTATACACTGCGACCTTAAAGATCTATTGTGTCCCCCTTTCTTGAGTTATAACTCATCATACAGTCTATAACCCATCATACATGTTGTAGGGGGGACAGGGTATTTCCTAAATACGTTAAAATATACGACGGCCTCCCCATAAGAGCAATGAGAGGATTTACGTCCCAGTATTGAAGGACAGAAAATCGAGTCGAATGGTTTCAAGACATAAGTTCATCCTTGTTTAGTCAAACCTCCTACAACACAAGGATCGACTTCAAGATCGGGACAGGAATTTAAGCGGTACCCTCCGTATATTTTATTTTAAACGTATTTGGTATTTCCCATCCTCCTCTGAGGGTATACACCCTTCCACGGTTGGAGTTTAACCTTCTCCGTGCCCTTCACAGTCGAGCATCTTGCCTCCGGCTGAGGTACTCGTTGGAGGCTGGAGGATCTGTTCCCAGTTTCTCCGCCTCTTTAACTTGATACCGGTGTTGCCCCTTATCTATAATAGAGGATATATTATAGATACCCTCTTTCTCTATTGCCTTCTTGAATTTGACGTCAATTCCTATTGTCAGGACCTGACCATGACCCTCCTCCCTCGAGTTGATGACTCGCCAACTCGATGTCCTTACATTGGAATTCTGAGCCTGGATAAGACTGAGCAGGTCGGTGGTGTCTTTCCCCTTGATCCTCGGCAGAAAGACCGTGACGGCCGCCCCTTTTTGGAATGTTTTCTCCCTTCACTGCAACCAGTCACCCTTTCCTCAAGTAATAAAATAACATAATATTTGATTAAGCAGCCAGAGAGCAGTAAATAGGTATTGGTGTTTACTTTACTCGTCTATATTATTTCCAAAGTCTACCACGATTCAGAGTATTGTGCTGAATCCCTGTAAACATTGGCAATCCAAACTACTCATTTTTGTTTAAGTATGCTTTGCCACCTTGCAGAGCATAATAATTGCTCTGAATAGTAGTAAATAACGTTAATACGCGAGTCGAAAATCTATTATATGCATTTTTTTAATTTAGGGAATATAATTATTATTAAACTATAATTCCTAGGATGGTTATTTGCTCGGTTATTTGTATCTTTTTACCTGCTTTTAATATATCTTACCTTTCTTCTTTTTATAGCGTCTATATCTTCCGGGGGGTTTTGCTTTCTTCCTCTCTTGGGGTTTTCCAGTAGAGTACTCAACAATTTTCATCATACAGCATAAAAGTACACCGATCATATTTCTGTCTATGGTCTGACACTTTTCAGTTCTAATATCAT